ATTTGTTATACAAATAACATATATTAGTAATCATTTTAAATTCATTATACATTTATTTTATATACTTAAACACTAAACGCAATCGTAAACATACATATATACAAATTAAAATTTTTAACGCTCGCAGGGATCGAACTCGCAACCTAACGCACCGCAGTCTAATACGCTAACCACTACACTACGCAATGACATATGAGTCACGGAGAAAAATAAATGTTATAAGCTACAGCTTGAAAAAAATTAAAGTTAGTAATTCAAAATAATAAATTAATCACATATAACCTTTTTTCTTTTTAAATTAATCAATTACAAGTAAATTAACAAAAACATTTTACATTTGTCAATGGTAGGAGAGAAATTTACTTTATGATGGTCGGCCCAACTATGGGCCTTGGACGGGCCGACTGTCTCTTCAGAAAATTGAAATAAAAATAAAATGTTAATTATAATAATGAAAAAAAAATTAATCTAAAAATAAAACAATTTAGATAAGAAAATTATTTATATAAAACTTTTAATTTCAAAATAAATAAAAATTATGTAACAATTAAATAAATTTTTATTTTAGATACTTTGAGCTTTTACTAATTGATAGTTTATTCTATTATTATTGATACATGCGGTAAAAAAAAAGTCAATTGGAAATAAATTTTGCGTGTAAATTGTTATGTATTTATATTTTAATAATTAAAAATGGCTTCAGTACAATATAATAATAATAAAAAAATAATAATAAAGTTGGTTGAAAAGTTCTTGGAAAAAAATAACTTAACACATTTCTCCAAACTTTATTACACTTGAGGATTCGCCACTGATGAATTTCTTCCTTTTCGCCCTCCTTCTCGGTCCTTCACATTAGACAACCAAGTACTTAAATCACTCGAAATTTGGTCTTCAGAAGCTTCCATGTCCGAGTCCAGTAAAACATCTGCAATTATTACATTTATTTTTATTTATTTTTAAAACTAATAAATTTTTGAAGATTTATTAACAATTTATTATTATTAATGTATGAAAATTTATTTTTAAGTTTTATAATTTAAAGCGAGTTGAGTTAAAATAACATTTAAAATTTCTGAAAAAATTGTTTTTAGTTTTTAATTTATAATAAATACTTATAAATTTTAAACAAAAAAAAATCCATACAATCTTTTTGTATTTTCTGTACAAGAAAACATATTTTTTAAAATTGTATTTTTAGGGAAAAAAAATATACGCATTTTTGTACATAATTTTTTTTTTTTTTGGTGGACAAATTTTCGAGTTATGATTTTTTGAAAATTTGATTTTTTGAAAGACTTGAAAAGTGTTGACTGTAGAGTAATTTCGCCAAAAGGAAAAAAGTTTAGTTTTTCTTCGACTTTTGGATAAAATTAACAAAAAAAATTTTTTTTAACTTTTAATAAAAAAATCATAATTTTTTGTGAACAAATTCATTGTTTTTCAATTTGGTCATTTTTTAAATTTCTTTTCTTTATTTCCTAGCTGGGAATGATAAAAATAGTTTGCATATAGTTTGAGAGTGGGTCTAATAAAAATTCTTAATTAAACAATTTGTTTTCTCTTTTTTTCCCATTTTTTAGACATAAACTTTTTTTATCCAATATAACTATTTTTTTCATAAAAAAGCAAAATAATATACATATTGAATAAAAAAATAAAAAAGTAAAATAAAAAAATTATTTAAACAAGAATTTTCATCAGTCCCAATCTCAAACTATATACAACATTTTTTGTACACTACCATTTGTTCGTTGCGTTTGTAGCAATGTCTCGGCACATTTAGGAAGTTCCCAATGACCTTCCGATCGTAATATTTTTAAAAGTTCCTCAAGAGCAACATGTGGAATATGTTTAATGTTTTTCGTTGCCCATGTTGCAATTTTGTCTCGAAAATTTGGTTTCCTGTCTATCAAAACAGGATTTTTATTAATAAATTGATCAAGTTCAGTTTCGTCAATCGCAATCGGTTCCGAATTATTTTCTGTTGCATTTTGAAAATTTTCAGTTAAACATTCAGAAAATGTTTCCGATTTATTTTTCATTAAATCTTCATCAATATTAAATGATTCAGAATAAGACACTTCCATTCGACATTCATCAGGTAATCTAAAATAATTAAACACATACAATTTTGATGATTGAAAACATTATCAAAATAAAAAATTGTTAAAATCGCTATTATTTACATTTTTATCAAGGCTTATTAGAATAAATATTAGTGATATACAAAATTGAAATTTAAAAAATATTGTAAGGTAACATAACATAACATTTAATAGCAATAAAAATTGCATTTTTATGAAGTATATTATATCAATGGCAAAACATTTTTGTGGCATAACCTTAAAATTAAACTTATTCTTTTTGTACAAAAATTACCAAATTTATCTAAACATATATTGCGTTATAAAAAACCTAATAGTTATACATACTTGCAATTAATTGCCGTTTCTTCACAAGACGGTAATAAAGTCTTATCTTCATGTTGATTTGATAAATCAACGGATTCGCAAATTTCATTGTTTCTCCTCTTTTCACATTTAGATAGAAATCTATATTTTTGTATCCTCTCATAATTCGATTTCGCTTTAATCATTTTATAAATCAATCGAACTTAACTTTTGACATTCCACTTGTAAGCAAATAATATCTCGCAAGAAAATTTATTGTTGTTTAGCACAACACGACAACAATCGTGTTTCTTTTGAGAAAAATAATTCTGTAATCCTTGATATACCGACCATCGATATACTCGGCTGCCAGTCATGCTGACTACATTCCCCGTAGTCGGCCCAACTGCGGTTTTCAAAGTCATGCCGACCATTCTCCCCCTAGTCGGCCCAACTGTGGCTGCCATAGTTTGGCCGACTATGGGGAAGAATGGTCGGCCCAACTATGGCAGCCAAGGTTGGACCGACCTTGGCTGCCAAGGTCGTACCGACCATTGTCCCCCATGGTCGGCCCAACTATGGCAGCCAAGGTTGGCCCAACTATGGCTGCCAAGGTTGTGCCAACCATTTTCCCCTTAGTCGGCCCAACTGTGGCTGCCATAGTTGGACCGACTATGGGGAAGAATGGTCGGCCCAACTATGGCAGCCACAGTTGGGCCAACCATGGCTGCCAAGGTTGTGCCGACCATTACCCCCATGGTCGGCCCAACTATGGCAGCCATGGTTGGCCCAACTGTGGCTGCCATAGTTGGACCGACCATTACCCCCCCTGGTCGGCCCAACTATGGCAGCCAAGGTTGGCCCAACTATGGCTGCCAAGGTTGTGCCGACCATAATCCCCCATAGTCGGCCCAACTATGGCTGCAATGGTCGGCCCAACTGTGACTGCCGACGTCGGCAGCCATAGTCGGCCCAACTTTGGGTGCAAATATTTACCATGGTCGGCCCAACTCTGGCTGCCGACCGGTCGGCAGCCAGAGTTGGGCCGACCATGGGCCGACGAACCAACTCTGGCGGCCGACCGAAATTCGCACCTGGGTGATTCTCCGCGTAGCGCACAACTTAATGTCCCTCGTATTTTTTATAAAATCAATTGCACATATTGTAATAAATCCAACGGAAAAAACTAATTTCTATGTTTATAAACAAAAGCCCACAGTCGTTTTTATTTAAAACTTTATAATTTAGCTTAAAAAGCTATTTTAAGGTGCCAAAACGTCATGGTATGACCTGTCCCCAGTACCACTTTTACATAAAAAATGTTATTTTTAGTAAAATATAGTAATAAATATAAAAACTATTGTTAGTTTCGTATTGTTTATGTTAGTAGAATTGTGAAAAACAAAGCGTTTGTGAAAAAAAATTTATTTTATTTCATTCTTTTGGTGTTAATTCTTGTCCCTCATCAAGCCTTTTTATAAAATAGCATTTTTTTACATAAAAATCAAATCAAAACTTCACTCAACATTAGTTAAAAGCAACAATAAACTCTCCTAAATAAATTACTAAGAGGGAAACTGCTTTCAGAATGAATTTTTTTGTTTTTCACACATCAAAAGCATCAAATGCGTGCATAGGGAATCACAGAATCGTCATGGTATAGCCTTCAAATATTTCTCAATAAAATTAATAATTATTTATATTTTATGTCAACTGAAGTGTAGTAGTATTAGTTCAGTGAATATAAATAACATGCATATGAAACAGATTGAAAATCGATAATAAATTGTTTAAAAAAATCAGTTTTTCTTGTGCGTCATGGTATGGCCTCATCGTCATGGTATAGTCTTTTTGTCATGGTAATTGAACGGCGTGTATCACTGAATTGTCTATAAGTGCACATAGAAAGTGAAGCAGAGCAATTTGTTTTAAACATTGAACTTTAGATAAGTAATAAATAATTACATAAATGTCCATAAATTACCACATAAATTTCCATAAATTACCGAAATTAAAATTTTTAATTGTCGTTCGCGCTATATATATTTTTCTGAATTACCCCAAAAATTTTCATAAACATTTTAAATCAAATTTCAACTATTTTATAGAATTTAAAAAGCAAAATTTTTTTTTTAATTTAGTTAAAAAAAATTAAAAAATTATGAACAATTTTTCCAGCCCACCAGGGATATTTATTTTTTGACACTTTATCTTCAAAAATATGTATTGATATTTATCATTTCGATAAGAAAATATTTTTAAACTTTCAGACATCAAATCGTGCGCTACGCGGAGAATCACCCTTATACATTTCAACTAGAAATACACAAGTATTTACGAATTATAAGTACTTGTTTATTTATTATCATTATTATTATTTTTAGACATTAAAAAAAGTTCTTAGAGAATTTTGAGTTATGATATTCTAAAACAATGAAATATTTTTATTAGTGATAATTAAGAATTTGTAATGTTTAGATCAATGCAGCGACTTAATATGTTCTGGATTAATTAAAAAATATTTCTTAAATTTATGGTAGGATCCTACAAGTCAAAATATTAACAAAATTATAAAAAAAATGTATAGATTTAATTTTGTTTTTAAAGAAAGGATTCTCAAAAATTATATATAAAAAATGGTTAAAAGTGCATCGCGAAGAAGCTGGAAAGAAACAGTTTAATTAGATCATGAGCAGCATTGCCAAGAGAAGACACACGGCTGTCTTTGGTTCCCGAAGATGGTGGCAAGGTGGTTGTTGGACAACTAAAAGTCATCAGGAAGCTTATTTAAGAAAACTTTACTCTCGGAAGCATGCAACTGGCATGCAAAGTCATTCAGATGAAGATAATAATGATTCCGTTATTTCACCTTGGAAAGCAGCAATTTATGATTTACCAACTAATGGCGAACATTATTTGGATAGTTTCTTGAGAAGCAGAAGTGAAAACGGTAACGGTTGCCCTGCACTGTCTACACCGAGGGCTAGTCCTACTGAAAAATGTGTAGAATTCCTGATAAGAAATGATGCAGTGAATCCGTGCCATGATAGAAATTACGACTTGGAAGAAAATGAGGAACGAATCACAGAGCGCAATCTAGATAATCTTCTAAGAGCTGAATACGGTTCTAATTTGGAGTAAGTCCTAATTTTTATCAAAACTTTCTCATTTTTTACAGTATTTTTCCCATAAGTTGAATATCTAAATTAACAATCATGTAACAATTTAAAATATAGTACTCTAGTCCGTCGTAAAATAAATAATTTTTTTAGATCAAAATTATTTTAATAATGTTGTGCAGGAATTTCACGTGAAAACATAAAAAAATAACTTAAATATATATTTTAGTAAATAATAAATATATATGAACACAATTTTAAAATGCTCACTGTGACACATCACTTTCGTAATTATAAATGCCCGCACAGCACAATATCTTGGTGTAAGCTTTCCTTGAGTTTAAACCTAAGAATCGTTAGCTTACAGCGTAAACTTCAGGTGAGGTTAAGGTGAATTATAAATTGTAGTCAGCTAACAGTTAAGCTTACTATAACCTTACTGTAAGCTTCGTGTAGTCTTAATGTAAGCTCCTATGTAAGATTACTCCCAGCAAACACGTTCTATAAATGTTATATAACAGTAAGGACACAGTTTTATAGAACATTTGTTACAATCTGGTTATGAATCTGTTATATAACCTCATTGTAACAGAATTCTAGAACATTGTTACAAGGGAGTTACCGATCTGTTCTATATTCTGCTAACTTCACAGTTCTGTAAGAATGTAATGTGACATTTCTGTAACACAATCATCACAAATGATTTGTAACTGACGTTCCAACGTAGTTTTAGAACTGTGTCTGAAAAATATTATGTAGCTGTTCCAAAATTTTGTTGCAGATTAGTTCTAAATCACATTTGTACCTAAAAATGAGAACAATTCTGCAACAGTGTTACATAACATTTCTATAACACTATAGCCACAAATTTTCTGTAACTAATGTTCCATCGTATATCTAGAACTATATCGGAACAATGATATGTAACAGTTCTAAAATTTTAATGAAGTTCAGTTTTGGAATATATTTGTACCTGAGATTAAGAATTTTGAAGTGTTCATACCAATGGGAAATTGACAATGGTTAGGATTGGCTAAATAATGGGCCAAGAATGGTTTTTTCTTGTATTACTATTGGCACCCAATATTGGACCGCTAATGGTAAAATCTTAGGATGATCACGCCGTTGCCAATCATTGGTAGCCAATATTGTTCCATCATTATGGATACTAAGGCAAAAAACGGATTCTCAAAAGCTTGGTTATTAATTGGCTACAAAGATTTTGGCCAGTATTGGAAGCTAATCATTTATTATCAACATTGGTCCAATCTTAAAAAGTATGTTCTTATAGTTGGAGGGTAACACCTTGATTGCGAGTGGAAACGACTACCATACCCTATACGCGAGAATTTTCAAATGTGATTTCAAACATTGTGTGAAAGATTTAATAATTTTTTATTACACTACATATTTAAAAAATTAATAAAATTAAAAAAATGAAATAATATTTTTAAAAATTTAATTTATGTTAAAAAAATATTTATTATAATAATAAAAATTATTTTATTAAATCTAATTGTTTTTAATTTTAAAAATAACTATTTTAAAAAATAATTCCAGATTTTTTAGAAATCTTTTTTTGAATTAATAATTATTTATTTAAAGTGTTAATTATGAATTAAAATTACTAATTTTTATAAATAATTTTATTCAAAGATTGTAAAAAAAGAAAAAATTGTTCTAAAATATTTTTGAATATATTTTGGGCTGAGAAAATCTTTTATTTAACATATGAAATAACACAAACTAAAAACTTACGGTTAAAATGTAGTGTAATAAAAAATTCACACAATGCAATGTATGAAATCACATTTGAAAATTCCCGCGCTGCATTGAAAGATGCGCGCATGACAATAATTCTGTCGTTGAAATCAGAATTCAATTTTTTTTATACTTTGCTGTTTTGGTGGCACGAGATATTTTAATTATCTCCATATGTAAAATGAATTGAATGAAATTTTTGGATGATATTGCCATTATTAGGTATCCAGTATTGTTTTGTCATTGGGTGCCAAGACATATAACGAATATTCAAATTCTTGGTTGCAACCCGAGTTGCGCGCACCAAAGGCAGTAACGTAGACCACTATGCCATCCTGACTCAATTGATGGTTTTCAAAAACTCCTATTTAAGTTTCACATCCATTTGGAAAGAAATATTTTCTTGGATCAAGAAAACGGGATTCTTATTAAGTAAAAAATTAATTCTAAGCAAATGAATAAAACTATTTGATTCAAGAAATGAAAATTCTTCAGACAATATTTTATTATTATTATTTATTATTTCTTATTATTTCTTCCAATAAGAAAATATCGTCTTGTTTTAAGTAAATTACCTCAAGTAAATGCATTAACTTGATTCAATTAACTTTTTTTCAGTGTATAGAACAGTTGAAATTTGACACTGTTCTAACTATGTTTATTTTAGAGTTTCCTTTTTCTATTACATCAAGTTTTAATATTTTTATTAAGAATAAAAATATTTTGCATGTATTTTTAGGTAATAATCGTGCGATAATAGTTATGTACCATTTTATAGTTGTAACAAAACAGTTCTAGAACTGTTACAAAATACATTTGTAATCATATTCTAGATCTGTTACAGAATCTTACATATTCGCTGAGTACGACATTTTGCGTAAAGTGACTCACAGGTTTATAACCAGTTACAGAACATGTTCTCAAAAAATTTGTAACAGTTCTATAACTGACCTGTATAATAAACTACTGTGCATGAATAATTTTTAAATTTATTTATTAACATTTATTAATAATAATGTAAGCTTACACGAAGCTTACAGTAAGTTTACGGGAAGCTTACAGTAAGGTTATAGTAACCTTAGGGGATGTCCATAAATTACGTAAGTCTTTTTGAGGGGGGGGTCAAGCATTTCTTACGATCAGTAGAAAAAATGGCGCTAATATGTGTAATGTGTCTGACATGGGGGGGGTCAAAATACCCTAAAAAAGTCTTACGTAATTTATGGACGTCACCTTAACTGTTAGCTGACTACAATTTGTAACTCACCTTAACCTCACCTGAAGTTTATGCTATAAGCTAACGAATCTTAGGTTTAAACTCATGGGAAACTTACAACAAGATATTTGTGCTGTGTGGGTGAAAAATAAGGTCAGGTGGGGTTAATGTTGTAGGATTCTCTTCTTTAGGAATAAATACACAATCATCTTTAATGTAACAAATCAAATTCTTTGTTTTCTATATTAAAACTCTAAGGACTCTTATAATTTAATAAACATGTATTAAACTCTTTTATAATTTAGTATTTTTTATATCAAAATTTTGCTTTGTCGCATTTTGTCCTACAATTGTAAAATAATTTTATAAAATTTAATACTAACTTTCTTTCTGTGCATCGTAATTGAAATTTAACTGAGAAGCAACAAAATAAGCAATTAAGATTCACTTTTATGAGCAATACAATTTTATGACTTGAACTTTAAAAGTAGTTTACGTCCATCTTCGTTTACATGTATTTTTCAAAACTCTCGTCACATTTAAGGAAAAAAAATTTAAAAATTGCAGCCCCCAGTGCATAAATTATTCTCAAGTAAACATTTCAACATTTCACTCTCAAGTATTTATGTCTGAAAAGATAACGTCAACTTCTTAAAAGAATTGTAAATGTTTGGATTCGAAGTCAAATCTTTACAATTTCTCCCAAAATTTATAATCCACTTAAAACAAAACGTAAAAATTGTGTTTCAATAAAATTTATTCTTATTGCTTTCCATAAAAAAATTATTTAACATAAAGTAATTTAGAAATGAGTGCAAGAATTTTGCCCGTATGTTATAAAAGTTTGATGGTCTACATGAGAAAAAAGTATAAAAAAGATATATCAGTCTCATGATACAGGTTATTAATTCCTAAGTTTATGGATGGACCCTAGATCCCACCTCTGCGTTCAGTCTAATGTGTGAATTCCTCTTCATTATATATATTCCTTTGTACATTGATTGTCTAAAGAAATTGTAGACGAATTCAAATAATAGAACTAATTGTAAAGCAGATAAAAGTAATTTTATTGGCGTATTAATTGGCCCAATGATGGGAGCCAATGAAAAAACCATTGGCACCCAATAATGGACCATTATTAGTAAAGTCATGGGCTGTCCACGCCGATGGCAATGATTGGCAACCATCATTGGCAAATTATTGGCAACCAAAAATTAGCCAATATTAAAAATTTTAATAATAATTAAAAAAATCAATAATTTAAAAAAAAATTTTATTCTTATTATTTTTTAATAGATTTTATTATTATTTTATTTTTAATAATTAAATTAAAATAAAAAAATGGACATCACAGTATTAGTGAAACCATTTCTTCCAAAGAAGAGTTTGTCTCAAATCCAATAAATAGGAGATACATCGGTCAGAAAAAAAATTTCGACGAGAAAAAATTTTCGATCACTGCTTCTATACCAATCTAATGGCACCTCAACTGCGAGAATCAGTTATGATGTTCTCCCTCCCTGTGGCGTTGAGCGAACTAAAGTCCAGAGCTGAACCATCAGCGCAAATTTAGTTTAATAAATAATTATTAATAACATAATGTCATACTTAATAATTAGTTAATAAATTTTTTTCAACGAAAATTTACTAATTAGTTAATTAATTTTTTTTTACAGAGAAATCTGGACAAAGAAAATTATTTTCTCATCGTGATATTTTTTTTTGGCCACAAATAATTTTTTTACTGAGAAAATTTAAAAATAATTTGATTTCTCATCGTGATATTTTTTTTGTGCTACGCATAATTTTTTTGTTAAATTTTCGTAGTACAAAAAATTAATTAACTAATAATTGCGTTATTTGGTTAATAAATTTTTTTACAGAGAATATTTGACAAAAAAATTATTTCTCATCGTGATATTTTTTTGTGCTACATACTTATAAATTTTTAATAAATTTTCGTAGTAAAAAAAACAACTAATTATTACGGTATTTAGTTAATTAATTTTTTTGAAGAGAGAATTTGACAAAAAAGTTATTT